AGCCAAGTATTATATATTAAATATATTGAATAATTAATTATTATATCATAATATTTTAAAAATGTTAAATAATTAATTATTATATCATAATATCATAAAATATATGATAATAACTTATTCTATATTAAAAATAATTATATTAGAAATATTTTATAATACTTGAGAATATGTAAAACAAATTAAAATAAAATTATATTTCTAATAAATTTAAATTATAAAAATATATAAAATAAAAACCCAAAATCACGTATCAAATAATTAAAAAACACCCGAAACTAAAATTTAAGATAAGCAAAAGAGATTCTTGGTCTCCGTTAATTAATTCCATGAGCATAAATTGATTGAGAAAAGGAAGAGAATAATAACCATATACAGAAAGAGAGAAAGTGTGTTCAAAGTGTTGAACATATATAAATGAATAAAATCAAAGTGTTGGGTCAGCACTTCTAAACCTGTTCGATCCATTAATCGTTTGTTTCAATTAGGGCTTCCCAAACCCTACGCCAGACAGAATTCAATCGCAGATTCAAAATCAGTAAACTCAAACCAATCAATCAGAAAAATCGAAGGAACCGATTCCTGACCGGAGCATGGCGGAGCACCTGGCATCGATCTTCGGGACGGAGAAGGATCGCGTCAACTGCCCTTTCTACTTCAAGATCGGCGCGTGCCGGCACGGCGACCGGTGCTCGCGGCTGCACAACCGGCCAAGCATCTCGCCAACACTGCTGCTGTCCAACATGTACCAGCGTCCCGACATGATCACGCCCGGCGTGGATCCGCAGGGGCAGCCGCTGGACCCGCACAAGATCCAGCAGCACTTCGAGGACTTCTACGAGGACATCTTCACGGAGCTCGCAAAGTTCGGCGAGATCGAGAGCCTCAATGTCTGCGACAATCTCGCCGACCACATGATCGGCAACGTCTACGTCCAGTTCCGCGAGGAGGACCAGGCCGCCAAGGCCCTCCAAGCACTCCACGGACGGTTCTACAACGCCCGCCCCATCATCGCCGACTTCTCCCCTGTCACAGACTTCCGCGAGGCCACGTGTCGGCAGTTTGAGGAGAACAGCTGCAACCGCGGCGGATATTGCAACTTCATGCACGTCAAGCTCATCGGAAGGGACCTCCGCCGGAAGCTCTTCGGCCGCCATCACCACCGCGGAGGTGGACGCTACCACCACACCAGCCGGAGCCGCAGTCGCAGCCGCAGCAGGAGTCCAAGGCACCGCCGGGAGGGACGGGAGAGGGACTCCCGCAGCGGCGGGAGGCGGGAGTATAGAGAGAGAGACGGCGGTGGACGACGGAGACACGCCGAGAGTCCCGCCAGAGAAGGGAGCGAGGAACGACGCGCGAGGATCGAGCAGTGGAATCGGGAGAGGGAGGAGAAGGAGTGACTTTATCGATGATGGTTTCCGAGAATGGAACATCAATTTCGTTCTCAGAGTATTTACCCTGTCTCCTGAGTATTTCCTATAGTAATGAAATTATTTAAGTGATCCCTTAAGTATTGAATATCTAATGCCTAGTGTGTGTTTGGATAGATGCTTGAAAAATACTTGAGTGCTAAACATACTTTTGTTTCTTTTAGTTTGGAAGTACTTCTAAAATGGAACCAATGGTAATCTAAACATGCTTTGCTATTAGTTGAATTTAAAAGATTTTCAAACATTTGAAGGATGTTTTGTCATGGTACTTTACTAGTTTTTATTATATTTTAGGGACTCTTTAGGAAGAACGGTAATGCTATAAGAATGAAATTGATGGTTTACTTGCATGTGAGTGTGAGCTGTGGCGCCGGGGCGAATAATGAGCCCTCTCTTTTTGTACTAATGATAATTGATTTCTCTTTCTCGCGTGGTGTTTTTGATCATCAGAGATTGGAAGGGAGCATTTTAGTTTTCTGAGATTGTAGGATTTAATTAGTTTGGGGCTGTGACGTACTGTATTTATTGTGCTGTTTCAGCTTTTGAATATATGACGACCTTAATTAAATTGTATACGCTAGCTAGTGAGTGATTCTGCTGGATGATATTGATATGGCTTTGGTTTAACGTTTATGATAGTTACTTTTTGTGATGGGGAAGGGAACGGGCTTGATGGTTTGAAGAAAAACGTTCCTTTTATTTATTGTGCCACAGATTGTCATTTTCAGTCACAAATGCGAGTGGTTAGTTCTTTTCTGGTGTGGTGGTGATCTCGTACTTCTCTTCATGGGACAATTTTTTTTAAGCACATAAAATGTTTTGATTGTATAAGTAATTGAAGGTATCCTGGTAGAGTCAACTCTGTTGATTGGTTAAGTAATTTTGATAATCTAGATCTAAGTTAGAGCTTTTGTTAGAGGCCTCTATGGGTTGTTTTTACTAGTTTTGTTTATTTCTGCTTGAGTTTTGAATCGAAGGGTTTCAATGCTTCTGATTCATAAACTTTGAGTAGAGTTGTGATCCTGCCTACATTGTCTTTTGCTTTTGTCGTTGCACTTGTTGTGCCGGATGCAAGCTAAGTACGATGGAAGGTATTAATGTGGTTTGATGGTAAGTTAGGGTAAGCTTTGCGGCTGTGGGCTATTGGGTCATCATTGTAATAAATAGTTGTATCACCTCCACGATATGATAGTAAATTAGGACATCCTATAGACTTGAATTTAAGTTTGTATTTGGTTTTCTGTTATGCAGTCATAACACTTGGCCATTTTGAAGTGTGGCTATGCTATGCCTGTGACTTTGGGGCTGGGTGGTATTGTTTGTTGTCTGTTTGCCTTTTCTGTTTTTCAACAAGTACATGTTGATTATTCTGCCATATCTCAAATTTCTACTGTATATATCCAAGTGAACAAGAAATATCAATGATTGATTTTTCTACTTCTGTGTTAATGTGTCTGCTTCCTTGGTTGGTAATTCTTCCAGGTTGTTTGTAGATTCAATTGTTTATCTCTTTTCATGCTTTAAAAGGAGTTAAGACCAAGGGCTCAAAACCAAAACATTCTCATTATAATTTGATGGCGTGATCTGTGATGCTCTGTTTTCTTTCTGACTCTACATTTCTTCTCCTCTTCCTCCCCAGTTCCCGGGTCTTCTATTTCCTGTTTCTTTAACAATATTTTTATTGTTTGTTCTGTCCATTTTATAATACGAAAACCTTTGTTATTTAATTTTGAACAGTATTTTCTATAACCCTGTAAGCCACCAATGAGTTGCAACCCGGTGTGCTACTGGCAGCTATATGTTAAATATTTTGTGTGAAGATATGGTCAATGATTTTTGTTGAGACATCGAAATACAAAAACATTAAATGAAAAAGTAAGCATGTAATATATTTGGAACTTAAAAGAAAACACTACCATTAATTTAGTTTTTCATTCATTATTCTTAAAAATTGCCTTTGGTGCCTTTTAGCCAAACATGTCTTTAATAGTTATTGTGTGTGTTTTCGTTATTGTCGGAAATTTATCTCTTTCTGTTTGGCTGAAGAATATTGAGATGTTTACAAGCATGTTTTTCGCCATGTAGGCTAGGTGCAATAGGGGGATTGGTTGTGCAGCGGATGTTCTTGAGATGTAGGAATTGCATTTCAAAGACTAACGAAGTTGGGGTTTGAATTGCCTCTTGTAAGACTGCACGTTTCTATTAGTATTTTTTATTTAAACATTTGCATGTGAGATTGGAATCCTTTTCTTCACATGCCATTTCTAGCTGGTCCACCTGTGAATTTATAACGTGCTTTCTTTCTTGTCTTTACAGCACTATAGGTATATAAAAGCATGTTTCGGAGAAATATTTTTGATGAATCCAAGTGCTAAATACTGTACAAAAATGAGACAACTAAGATGGGCAACTTCTGCTTTGTTATCCTGGGATTTTTGCCACTTGGGCTATGGTGGTATTTGAGCTCTCCAAACCTAGGTTGACATCAAGGCTTAGTGGATGTTTTGGTTTAACTTATTTAGGAGAAANCACTATTGCTGTCACAGGCATTGTCATTGTTGTTCTCAGTGTAGCTGTCATCACAATGTAGAGAAAGGAGAAGAGTAGAAAAGGCTACAAGGGAAGGGAAGAAGAAGAAGAAAGAAAATAGGCTTAATTAATCTTTTGTTTCCAATTTTATATGAAATTTTTAATTAGGTCCCTTATTATTATTTATTTCACTTATGTTTTAATTTTTCAAAAATTAATTTTCATTAGTATTTTACCAACAACATTAAAAACATGTCACTTATTTTTTATTTTTTCTTTTTAAAAAATTGTCTACACACTAGACATGAAACCTGTCACTAGGATGTGGTGGTTAGGAATGACAACAGGTCGAGTCGGATAGTGTTTACCTGTAACCTGACCCGTCAGATAAAACTGTATTCGTTATCTGACCCATTACCTATGCGGATATCAATTTAAAAAATACCCATGGATACTCGCGGATACTCACAAAAAAAAATATTTTATATATTTTTAAAATAAAATTTAAATAAAATTACAAAAAATATATATATATAATATAATATAAATTAAATTAAATATAAATTAAAATTTAATTTTAATTAAATTTAACTAAGTAAAATTATAATTTTATTTTATTTTTAATTAAATTTAATTGAAAAATAAATAAATAAATTTTATTTTTTGCGGATAACATGTATCGCGTATAATAATTTAACAGATGTATATAAATTTTTCACGGATTAAATAAATAAATATATATAAATTATAATAAATAAATATATTTTATTATCCGCTATTTTATTATCCGTATCCGACTCGTTTAGAAGAGGATATCCGCGAATAATAATTTTCTATCATAGATTTTATCCGTTGTGAATTGTTGAAATGTCAAGTTTTAATGTCCCCTGTTAGGGAGAATAATAAGTATTATTGTTTTATATACAATTCAGTTTGTATATTTATTTAAATTCAGTTTTAATTTTTCAAAAATAGAATAATGTTATCTCTTTCTAGATGAAATATGTAGTTGCCATATGTGGAAGAAGGATGTTAGTGGTAGAAAACTTTATGAAAGAAGGTCACGAGGCCTAAACATAATCTTTGTCTGGGTTGATAACCTCGATGACCTTGTTAGTGAAAATCTTATTGGGTAGGATGTAGACCTTCTATTGGTCATGGTCAAAGTGTACATCTTGGCTCAACAACATAGACAACAAATAATGGAAAAGAGATCACAAATAATCTCGCAAAATCATTGTAAAATTTGTTCTTTGAAAGAATTGTTTTTTTCTCAAAATTATAAACGTTTGATTTAATGCTTAAAGCTTCTCGTAATGTTCAGCTCAAAACAAGTCTAAATCCCATAATATCAAAATTGTTTATTTATATATATTAAAAGAATCATATTACTTAAATAAAGCCAAGTATTATATATTAAATATATTGAATAATTAATTATTATATCATAATATTTTAAAAATGTTAAATAATTAATTATTATATCATAATATCATAAAATATATGATAATAACTTATTCTATATTAAAAATAATTATATTAGAAATATTTTATAATACTTGAGAATATGTAAAACAAATTAAAATAAAATTATATTTCTAATAAATTTAAATTATAAAAATATATAAAATAAAAACCCAAAATCACGTATCAAATAATTAAAAAACACCCGAAACTAAAATTTAAGATAAGCAAAAGAGCTTCTTGGTCTCCGTTAATTAATTCCATGAGCATAAATTGATTGAGAAAAGGAAGAGAATAATAACCATATACAGAAAGAGAGAAAGTGTGTTCAAAGTGTTGAACATATATAAATGAATAAAATCAAAGTGTTGGGTCAGCACTTCTAAACCTGTTCGATCCATTAATCGTTTGTTTCAATTAGGGCTTCCCAAACCCTACGCCAGACAGAATTCAATCGCAGATTCAAAATCAGTAAACTCAAACCAATCAATCAGAAAAATCGAAGGAACCGATTCCTGACCGGAGCATGGCGGAGCACCTGGCATCGATCTTCGGGACGGAGAAGGATCGCGTCAACTGCCCTTTCTACTTCAAGATCGGCGCGTGCCGGCACGGCGACCGGTGCTCGCGGCTGCACAACCGGCCAAGCATCTCGCCAACCCTGCTGCTGTCCAACATGTACCAGCGTCCCGACATGATCACGCCCGGCGTGGATCCGCAGGGGCAGCCGCTGGACCCGCACAAGATCCAGCAGCACTTCGAGGACTTCTACGAGGACATCTTCACGGAGCTCGCAAAGTTCGGCGAGATCGAGAGCCTCAATGTCTGCGACAATCTCGCCGACCACATGATCGGCAACGTCTACGTCCAGTTCCGCGAGGAGGACCAGGCCGCCAAGGCCCTCCAAGCACTCCACGGACGGTTCTACAACGCCCGCCCCATCATCGCCGACTTCTCCCCTGTCACAGACTTCCGCGAGGCCACGTGTCGGCAGTTTGAGGAGAACAGCTGCAACCGCGGCGGATATTGCAACTTCATGCACGTCAAGCTCATCGGAAGGGACCTCCGCCGGAAGCTCTTCGGCCGCCATCACCACCGCGGAGGTGGACGCTACCACCACACCAGCCGGAGCCGCAGTCGCAGCCGCAGCAGGAGTCCAAGGCACCGCCGGGAGGGACGGGAGAGGGACTCCCGCAGCGGCGGGAGGCGGGAGTATAGAGAGAGAGACGGCGGTGGACGACGGAGACACGCCGAGAGTCCCGCCAGAGAAGGGAGCGAGGAACGACGCGCGAGGATCGAGCAGTGGAATCGGGAGAGGGAGGAGAAGGAGTGACTTTATCGATGATGGTTTCCGAGAATGGAACATCAATTTCGTTCTCAGAGTATTTACCCTGTCTCCTGAGTATTTCCTATAGTAATGAAATTATTTAAGTGATCCCTTAAGTATTGAATATCTAATGCCTAGTGTGTGTTTGGATAGATGCTTGAAAAGTACTTGAGTGCTAAACATACTTTTGTTTCTTTTAGTTTGGAAGTACTTCTAAAATGGAACCAATGGTAATCTAAACATGCTTTGCTATTAGTTGAATTTAAAAGATTTTCAAACATTTGAAGGATGTTTTGTCATGGTACTTTACTAGTTTTTATTATATTTTAGGGACTCTTTAGGAAGAACGGTAATGCTATAAGAATGAAATTGATGGTTTACTTGCATGTGAGTGTGTGCTGTGGCGCCGGGGCGAATAATGAGCCCTCTCTTTTTGTACTAATGATAATTGATTTCTCTTTCTCGCGTGGTGTTTTTGGTCATCAGAGATTGGAAGGGAGCATTTTAGTTTTCTGAGATTGTAGGATTTAATTAGTTTGGGGCTGTGACGTACTGTATTTATTGTGCTGTTTCAGCTTTTGAATATATGACGACCTTAATTAAATTGTATACGCTAGCTAGTGAGTGATTCTGCTGGATGATATTGATATGGCTTTGGTTTAACGTTTATGATAGTTACTTTTTGTGATGGGGAAGGGAACGGGCTTGATGGTTTGAAGAATAACGTTCCTTTTATTTATTGTGCCACAGATTGTCATTTTCAGTCACAAATGCGAGTGGTTAGTTCTTTTCTGGTGTGGTGGTGATCTCGTACTTCTCTTCATGGGACAATTTTTTTTAAGCACATAAAATGTTTTGATTGTATAAGTAATTGAAGGTATCCTGGTAGAGTCAACTCTGTTGATTGGTTAAGTAATTTTGATAATCTAGATCTAAGTTAGAGCTTTTGTTAGAGGCCTCTATGGGTTGTTTTTACTAGTTTTGTTTATTTCTGCTTGAGTTTTGAATCGAAGGGTTTCAATGCTTCTGATTCATAAACTTTGAGTAGAGTTGTGATCCTGCCTACATTGTCTTTTGCTTTTGTCGTTGCACTTGTTGTGCCGGATGCAAGCTAAGTACGATGGAAGGTATTCATGTGGTTTGATGGTAAGTTAGGGTAAGCTTTGCGGCTGTGGGCTATTGGGTCATCATTGTAATAAATAGTTGTATCACCTCCACGATATGATAGTAAATTAGGACATCCTATAGACTTGAATTTAAGTTTGTATTTGGTTTTCTGTTATGCAGTCATAACACTTGGCCATTTTGAAGTGTGGCTATGCTATGCCTGTGACTTTGGGGCTGGGTGGTATTGTTTGTTGTCTGTTTGCCTTTTCTGTTTTTCAACAAGTACATGTTGATTATTCTGCCATATCTCAAATTTCTACTGTATATATCCAAGTGAACAAGAAATATCAATGATTGATTTTTCTACTTCTGTGTTAATGTGTCTGCTTCCTTGGTTGGTAATTCTTCCAGGTTGTTTGTAGATTCAATTGTTTATCTCTTTTCATGCTTTAAAAGGAGTTAAGACCAAGGGCTCAAAACCAAAACATTCTCATTATAATTTGATGGCGTGATCTGTGATGCTCTGTTTTCTTTCTGACTCTACATTTCTTCTCCTCTTCCTCCCCAGTTCCCGGGTCTTCTCTTTCCTGTTTCTTTAACAATATTTTTATTGTTTGTTCTGTCCATTTTATAATACGAAAACCTTTGTTATTTAATTTTGAACAGTATTTTCTATAACCCTGTAAGCCACCAATGAGTTGCAACCCGGTGTGCTACTGGCAGCTATATGTTAAATATTTTGTGTGAAGATATGGTCAATGATTTTTGTTGAGACATCGAAATACAAAAACATTAAATGAAAAAGTAAGCATGTAATATATTTGGAACTTAAAAGAAAACACTACCATTAATTTAGTTTTTCATTCCTTATTCTTAAAAATTGCCTTTGGTGCCTTTTAGCCAAACATGTCTTTAATAGTTATTGTGTGTGTTTTCGTTATTGTCGGAATTTTATCTCTTTCTGTTTGGCTGAAGAATATTGAGATGTTTACAAGCATGTTTTTCGCCATGTAGGCTAGGTGCAATAGGGGGATTGGTTGTGCAGCGGATGTTCTTGAGATGTAGGAATTGCATTTCAAAGACTAACGAAGTTGGGGTTTGAATTGCCTCTTGTAAGACTGCACGTTTCTATTAGTATTTTTTATTTAAACATTTGCATGTGAGATTGGAATCCTTTTCTTCACATGCCATTTCTAGCTGGTCCACCTGTGAATTTATAACGTGCTTTCTTTCTTGTCTTTACAGCACTATAGGTATATAAAAGCATGTTTCGGAGAAATATTTTTGATGAATCCAAGTGCTAAATACTGTACAAAAATGAGACAACTAAGATGGGCAACTTCTGCTTTGTTATCCTGGGATTTTTGCCACTTGGGCTATGGTGGTATTTGAGCTCTCCAAACCTAGGTTGACATCAAGGCTTAGTGGATGTTTTGGTTTAACTTATTTAGGAGAAACGATCGGTCATTTCTTTTGGCTTTTTGAGAGATTTTGCTAAATAAGCTAATATTTCTCTAAATTTAAGTTGAGCCAAGCCATTAGTTTGTGCTCACTCCAATTACTTTAGGATATGTTTGGGAGTTTGGATTTGGAAAGGAAGGGAGGGGAGGCAAATTTTTTAATTTATAATTTTAGATTAGTAAGAAATTAACCCATATATCTCCGACATAATTTTTATAAACTTATATGTTTGCCCTCCTCACTGTTCTCCTTCAAAACCCATGGGACAATTTAGCCATAGGGACCACTAGGCATTGTGACTGAGGTTTTCTATGGGGGTTTTAACTTGTTCTTCACGCATCAGTTAGGAAGGAACAGGAATTATCATCTTCTGATATCATATAAAGTGCAAGCAGTTTAGGTTTCTGAAACCAGGATGAGGCCGGACAGATGTACAGAGCAATATGTTCCCATTTTTGGTTAGACTACCTACCTTAACTCCTGTAACAGTTGAATTTTCTACCATCTTACCATGCTTGAGTTCATTTTTTAAAGCGGGAGAGGTTTTGACTCTGGTATGTTTGGTTGAGGTGAAAGAAAATCATGATGGGGATATTTTTTTCTGTTTGATTAGCAAAACGGGAAGGAGAAGAGTGAACTGGATTTGTTAAATTAAGTTTCAATCATTTCTTTCACTTTCCCTTTAAATCAATTTTCACACCATTCTCTCGATTCCTTTTTTACTGTACTAAACAGATCCTTGTGTGATCTCTTTTATACGATAAACAAAACGAAGGGAAGGTGAAATTTGTTTTCTTTTTTGAATTTTAGCTGTTAGAAATAATATTTTCTTCCTCATTTTTTGGTTTTTTTTTTTATATATTTTATTTTCTTTCTATTTTCGTCCGTACTTCCAAACACACCATTAGTATAAAATCTGAATAATATGATTATCTTCCATCAAATTTAGCTTCAATTGATTGGGTAGTGGAATTTGGAAACATTCTGCGGTGGGCTTTTGAGGTCGTAACGGGTAAACTCTGAACTATCATGTTCCAAGACAGTTTGAATAAACAACCAGCATAACTGGTTTTCCCGGCTCCTTCGCTTCAGGTTTTCCCAAACGATGGCACGGTGAATTCAGAAAGAGAATAACGGATCTTGTTCACGTTTTAGCGTTTGAGGTAGACATATTTTTTTCATTCTCTTTTGTAGTATGATGTCTCTGGTATAAAATCTTTTAACTAAGCTNTACTTCTGTGTTAATGTGTCTGCTTCCTTGGTTGGTAATTCTTCCAGGTTGTTTGTAGATTCAATTGTTTATCTCTTTTCATGCTTTAAAAGGAGTTAAGACCAAGGGCTCAAAACCAAAACATTCTCATTATAATTTGATGGCGTGATCTGTGATGCTCTGTTTTCTTTCTGACTCTACATTTCTTCTCCTCTTCCTCCCCAGTTCCCGGGTCTTCTATTTCCTGTTTCTTTAACAATATTTTTATTGTTTGTTCTGTCCATTTTATAATACGAAAACCTTTGTTATTTAATTTTGAACAGTATTTTCTATAACCCTGTAAGCCACCAATGAGTTGCAACCCGGTGTGCTACTGGCAGCTATATGTTAAATATTTTGTGTGAAGATATGGTCAATGATTTTTGTTGAGACATCGAAATACAAAAACATTAAATGAAAAAGTAAGCATGTAATATATTTGGAACTTAAAAGAAAACACTACCATTAATTTAGTTTTTCATTCATTATTCTTAAAAATTGCCTTTGGTGCCTTTTAGCCAAACATGTCTTTAATAGTTATTGTGTGTGTTTTCGTTATTGTCGGAAATTTATCTCTTTCTGTTTGGCTGAAGAATATTGAGATGTTTACAAGCATGTTTTTCGCCATGTAGGCTAGGTGCAATAGGGGGATTGGTTGTGCAGCGGATGTTCTTGAGATGTAGGAATTGCATTTCAAAGACTAACGAAGTTGGGGTTTGAATTGCCTCTTGTAAGACTGCACGTTTCTATTAGTATTTTTTATTTAAACATTTGCATGTGAGATTGGAATCCTTTTCTTCACATGCCATTTCTAGCTGGTCCACCTGTGAATTTATAACGTGCTTTCTTTCTTGTCTTTACAGCACTATAGGTATATAAAAGCATGTTTCGGAGAAATATTTTTGATGAATCCAAGTGCTAAATACTGTACAAAAATGAGACAACTAAGATGGGCAACTTCTGCTTTGTTATCCTGGGATTTTTGCCACTTGGGCTATGGTGGTATTTGAGCTCTCCAAACCTAGGTTGACATCAAGGCTTAGTGGATGTTTTGGTTTAACTTATTTAGGAGAAACGATCGGTCATTTCTTTTGGCTTTTTGAGAGATTTTGCTAAATAAGCTAATATTTCTCTAAATTTAAGTTGAGCCAAGCCATTAGTTTGTGCTCACTCCAATTACTTTAGGATATGTTTGGGAGTTTGGATTTGGAAAGGAAGGGAGGGGAGGCAAATTTTTTAATTTATAATTTTAGATTAGTAAGAAATTAACCCATATATCTCCGACATAATTTTTATAAACTTATATGTTTGCCCTCCTCACTGTTCTCCTTCAAAACCCATGGGACAATTTAGCCATAGGAACCACTAGGCATTGTGACTGAGGTTTTCTATGGGGGTTTTAACTTGTTCTTCACGCATCAGTTAGGAAGGAACAGGAATTATCATCTTCTGATATCATATAAAGTGCAAGCAGTTTAGGTTTCTGAAACCAGGATGAGGCAGGACAGATGTACAGAGCAATATGTTCCCATTTTTGGTTAGACTACCTACCTTAACTCCTGTAACAGTTGAATTTTCTACCATCTTACCATGCTTGAGTTCATTTTTTAAAGCGGGAGAGGTTTTGACTCTGGTATGTTTGGTTGAGGTGAAAGAAAATCATGATGGGGATATTTTTTTCTGTTTGATTAGCAAAACGGGAAGGAGAAGAGTGAACTGGATTTGTTAAATTAAGTTTCAATCATTTCTTTCACTTTCCCTTTAAATCAATTTTCACACCATTCTCTCGATTCCTTTTTTACTGTACTAAACAGATCCTTGTGTGATCTCTTTTATACGATAAACAAAACGAAGGGAAGGTGAAATTTGTTTTCTTTTTTGAATTTTAGCTGTTAGAAATAATATTTTCTTCCTCATTTTTTGGTTTTTTTTTTTATATATTTTATTTTCTTTCTATTTTCGTCCGTACTTCCAAACACACCATTAGTATAAAATCTGAATAATATGATTATCTTCCATCAAATTTAGCTTCAATTGATTGGGTAGTGGAATTTGGAAACATTCTGCGGTGGGCTTTTGAGGTCGTAACGGGTAAACTCTGAACTATCATGTTCCAAGACAGTTTGAATAAACAACCAGCATAACTGGTTTTCCCGGCTCCTTCGCTTCAGGTTTTCCCAAACGATGGCACGGTGAATTCAGAAAGAGAATAACGGATCTTGTTCACGTTTTAGCGTTTGAGGTAGACATATTTTTTTCATTCTCTTTTGTAGTATGATGTCTCTGGTATAAAATCTTTTAACTAAGCTTTCATTGATGTGGATGAAATTTCACATGCATGTTTTTTGAAAGATATAGGACTTCAAACTATTCTGGTGTTGATGTTAGTGCACTGAAAACAAAACTGTTAATCTACTTTTCAGTGTGCTCTTATTTTTATATACTTTGTCAAATATGGAACTTTGTTGGTTGTTTATGGATCTGGACTAATATTTTTTGCAAAAGATCTAAGCTTCCTAAAAAGGAGTGAAATATAGGGTGTAATGATACAATGATTTATATTCAGTTTTAGAACTCATACCTTCGTGAATGTATAACTTTGCTATAAAAAAGTACAGTATATTTCGTCTTTTAGTTTTCATAAGAATTTAAATTTGGTTTTGTTAATACCATGTTCAATAGTATCATATTTAAGAGTGATGTCAAAATCAGTTTAAATACTTTTTCCTTCTTTTATTATTTAAAACATTTTTGAAAGACAAAATCGGGATAAAGTATAGACTCAAAAATGGATAATTTCTCATATGAGTCTCACATTGGTGTCAATCGTGAGTTTGATAGCAGGGTTCTAAGATAAACCCGGAAGAATCTTCAAACTTCTTTTCAATTAGGAGTTTATGTTCCTATAATTGAGTTTTCAGGTTTTTATAATAGAAATTTGATTTAATTACAATTTTTCATCTGGTTGTTAAGCAAGAGTATGTGTATGATTTTAGTGGTAAAAGATAGATGTTCAAGTCTATTATTAAAAAGTTTTATCACCATTCTACAAATGGCATTTTTATATTTCAACAGTAATGAACCAAAATTATTTAATTTTTGATAATTGTATTATGTAAACGTATAATTATATTTTCAGTGGCATTAAAATTGTATGTTCGTAAAACTACGAGGATTTAAAGTAGATTAAAGTATAGACAGTTGTTCAGAGAGTGAAGAAATCAGACTGCGTTTGTCGTTACATTTAACCTTGCGTGCTAGGCTGGTTCCGAACAAATTTCCAAAATGGTAAGATGCTTTGTTAATGTGTTATAAAAATGATTTTGACAATATAAACATTCTTTTTTATTTATAAAAGAAATGTCATGTGGATGAGTAAAGATTACTTTTTTTTTGTGTAATTAGTAAGAAAATGTACGAGTTCAATAATCTCAATAGAAAATTCCATTTATTTCCTCTAAAGTGTAAAATGACAATTTTCTTTTAATTTTGAAATAGATATCTATCTCACTTTTTTTAAAATAAAATTTTACTTGTTTTTATGTTTTTAAAAAGACACTTTAAAATAAAATAAAGGAATATGTCAATTTATAAATGGGTTAAATATGTTTTTAATCTCTAAACTATCAAGCGATTTTGTTTTTAGTCCATCTTTCAAACTAAGGTGTTTTCTAGTCTTTCTATTTTAGGAAAACATAATTTTCCGTCCTAAAAAATCAACGGTGTTAAAAAGAAGCTGAGTTGGCTAATGGTGGGGTGTCACATCATCTTTTTTCTAACACTGAGTCAATCTGACCTTCACCGTTCGCTCACCATCATCATTCAGTCATCATAACCATTCGGTCGTCACCAATACCATTCGGTCACTACCAATATCGTTCGGTCATTCAATCATCATAACCATTCAGCCATTACCAATACCGTTCGACCATTAACAATATAGTTCGGTCACCACCAATACCGTTTGGTCATTCAGTCATCAAAATCATTTGGCCTTACCAATACCGTTCGGCAGTACCTTACGGTAAGGGACAGATTGACTCAGTGTCGGAAAAAAAATGATGTGACACTCCACCGTTAGCCAGCTTAGCTTTTTTTAAACGCCGTTGGTTTTTGAGGACGAAAAATTATGGTTTCCTAAAAGTGAAGGACCAAAAGGTACCTTGAAGGACCAAAAGGTACCTTAGTTTGAAAGAGGGACTAAAAACAAAATCGTTTGATAGTTTAGGGACTAAAAACATATTTAGCCCTTTATAAATAAATATTGTTTATTAGAATGAATTTAATATGATTTTGGTTTTAAAATTATTACGTGTTTTATGTAGTCTTTCATGATCAATTCAGGTAGGGTTTTTTTACGTGACCAAAGTTTTGTGACAAACAATGTGTAACTTTTTCAACTTGATAAAGTGAGGAAAACACATGTATTTTGTTCCAAGGTCAATAAGACATTTGAATAGTTTGGTTGAAAATCCTGACAACTCGATAAGATGAATGAAAAACTAAGATAATTTAGTGTAAAGTTCGGATATAGATTCAATGAGTCATTAATTAGTTATGTAACACACTTATTTAATACTATTTTCAACTTAAAATATTAAATTAATAAATTTATATATTTTTATTATATATTTCTTATCTCGTTTCTCTCTATCTATTAAGACTTTCAACCTTATACACATTAAAATAAAATTCTCTTTGTAGTGAGGATATTTTAATATATAGAGTTACCGTGTTTTTACTTTTAAGATGATTTAGTAGATATAAATAAGAGGTACTATGCTACATTCATATTTGTGTTTCATTTAAGTTATTTTCGAAGTGTGAGAGATGTGACTTTATGTATTGTTACAACAGTTTTTTTCATTAGTCAAGTACACGTGAATTAGACTAAAATTAATGATAACTTAAAAAAAAAAGTGCAATAACAATTGTATAAACTAATTAACAATTTTTTTTTCAAAGATATATATATATATATATATATAGACATTTAAAGTATATTAACTTTTTTTTACTTTTATAATTTTTATTATAAAATTTGTACGTGTCTCAAATTCTCTGGAAGTTCCAAAATTTTGTTTCATAATCTTCATTGAAAAAATCAACAGCTATGATCTAACAGACATAACGACAATTATTTTTATTGATTTTAGCATACGAAGACTTGATTGAAAGAACTCAATAAAGAGTTTATATTAAAAGAAAAGTATTTTTTTAATAATTTTTTTACAACAGTTATTTTATGAATGATTTATTTTAAATTATACAGACTATAAAATAATAAAATAATGACAAATAATCTTATTATAAAAATTATTAAAAAAATTGTTAACGTATTATAGTCCATGTTATAACTCCAACTGGTACTCATTTTCTCTCTGGAGGAAACGAGGTTTCAACAAAAAGCAGATCAACAAAATGCATTTCACAATA